ACATGTTCACTAGTATTTTCAAAGTATTTTGTTTGTGAAATGCCACATTCTTCATATTGACATTTAGAAAAAATGAAACCATTTGATTTCCATTTGATAACAGCGTTTTCATTTACAAGTTAGCTTATATAAAAAAGGTTAAAAAAGAAAAAAAAAAGGTTAAGTAATCCCCAAATTAAACAAAATATTCCTGTTCAAGAATAAAGCTTCAGGTAACCTAAAAATAAATACCTATTTAATTTTTAGGATGAAGAATCTCCTTAAAATTATGTTTCTATTCATCCTCAACTTATTTTCCCCTTAATATTTGCTTGTGGTTACAATGAAGTAAATCCTTCAGTTGCCCAGCTCTGCATCAGCCAAATAATTTTCTACCTTCCCTGATGTTGCTATCAGTTTTGGTACCCTCATGTGAATGGAAACTTTTTTTTTTTTTAGATATTTACTCAGAAAATGACATCTCACCTGCACTTTACCTCTCAATATGGCTGACTAATCAGTAACTCATACGATTTTCAGCAACTGGCACAGCTCAGTATGCAACATATAAAATTAAAAAAAAATAGATCAGTAGTTATACTGCTAATATTTAACCAGCATCTTGTTTTCTGAAAGGCAAGAAATGTGAAGAAATGATCAGTGTGGGTAGTCTTTGTTTTTCCAATCTTCATTTTGAATTTTTTTTCTCTACGACCATCAGTTCACACAAGTTCTGCCTGAGGATATTACTCCGACCTGCTATCTAAAATGAAAATCTTGCTGTTTATTGCTCCATGTCTTCTTCTGCTTTCCTCTTTCTGCTTGTTCAGAAAAGGATGGATTTATGGAAGCTGTGGTCCCAGTGGAAGAAATAACCACCTCCCCAGCCTCCTTCCCAGGAGGTATCAACTCAATGCAAGCCAAAATTGTCCCCACCGAGAAGATTCCTGCAGGCATATCTGCAAGGACAAAGGAAAAAGGCAAGTAAAAACTGAATTACACCTATTCTAACTGACAGCACTCCCCTATTCCTGTCCACAGCTATCTGCGGATTCAGCATTTCTCATAGATATGTAGAAAAACACTATTTTCTCCCTAAATCTAGATAGATTACACAGAATACAGGGTGCACAGCACTGACTGCACTGGAAAGGGCAGTTCGCTGTCAAACGCTGACCAGGAAAGCTTAATTAGCCATCAATAAACAGTCTTCCAACTATGAATTAAACAAATGGTAGATGACTGTCAATTGATTATGGTTCAGAATCTGCACTTTTGGACACATTACTGAAAAAAGAGTTTATTCTACCTTTGCAAGTCTAATCTATGCATATGTCATCTCCAGAGACAAGCCCTGCAAGGGGTGGCCAGAGCACAGCTTCCTCTGGAATAGCTCTGGAACTGGTACTGTCCGACGGGGAACGCAATGAACCTGCAGGAAAAGGTAAATGAAGGTTTTTTTTCCAGTTATATCTAATGAAATACCTCTATATGAAAAGGTAGGTGTATATTACATATAAAGATTATAGTGATTCTAAACCAGTTAGACAAGCACACATGTATTGGTATTTATAAGAACAGGAGATGCAGTCATCTGCAAAAGCTCCCAACAGTTTAACCTCTTCCACCATTGTGCTATCATTAACACTTACAAAAACTATTTATGATTAGGTTATAAGTACATTTTTCATACAGTACAAGATCTAAAATGAGCTCAGCCAATGTTTGTTTTTAGGCAGTAATTTAATCACATCTTTGAGTTACGTTATTTTACAAGCAGCAGAAGCAATAAGAGGAACTTCCCCTGCTCCTCCCTCTGACCTCTTGCCAAAGTCTTGCCAGAGTCGGCCTTTTTCTCACCATTTCTGATTCTGTTCCAACTCCTGCCCAGAGTTGACAGAGATCCCAAGACATTTCAGACCTGTCACTGCTGTAAATCCACACTCAGGGACTGTCCCATCCATCTTGTTAGGCTTCCCAATGGAGAGAAGTGGTCCCAGAGCTGGAACAGAGCAGACATGAAGAATCGACCCAGCCTTCTGTCAAATTGGAAAATTTGATCGTAAAATATCATCTTTTAGAGAGTGCTTGCCAGTGCACGAACCTGGGGTTCGTTCTTGGTGAATTAACATGAGTGAGCAATGACCCAAGCAGGTGCATGGGCAGAATTTTCTATTGCGGGAAGTAATCCAGGGTTGTCCCTGGAAGAAGCAGGGACAGTCACTCTGGAGCTGCAGAAGGCAAGATGGGATTACTCACAGGAGCAAGGAGGATGCACAGGATAGAGAAGCCCACCCTCTCTCTCCCCCAGTCCAACCATCAGCCCCTTCAAGTCCTTTCCCTGGCAAAGTCCCAAAAGAGGGCCCCTTGACATCGTTTTTCCTGACATGGAACACACTCTGCTCTCAAATCTTAGGGATAATTCCCACAATATCAGCTCTTCCTGAGTGGGCGAAGAAACAGAGGCATTAGGGTTGGGACATGGAGATGCCAAGACCTCGGCAGCACAGTAACTATTATGACATCGCTCCTGCATTTGGGATAGAGGCATCATAGCTCTAATCGAATTGCAGTTAAAAAGTGTGAATGTGATAATCCAAGGTGGTCTTCCCTGGTTTGTAATATCAGGAAACAATTCTCTTTGAAGTGAAAATCCAGAATTTTTCCTTTAGGAAAGCAACCCTACTACTGATTGCCCTGTGACGGTAGCCAAGCTTTATCGGGACAATTTTTTGTAAGCATACCATGAAGGAATCATGTATATCTTAGTCCTAGTAGACCTTTAATGCTAGGTGGAAGGTATTTCAAATGAAAGACAAAGTTATTGTTTCCTCCAGCACAGCATAGTCGTTGCCCAGCTACCACTGCGCAAGCACAAGAGGTTAAGACTCTATTTTCTGAATTAGCCAAGACAGAAGCTACTGAATACTCAGCTAGGTTTGAATGTTCCAGAAGAAAAATTTAACTATGAAGGATTACGAAGGATTGCAAAGTACTCTTATTGCAATCCAATTTGACCTGTAATTTACATATTCATAGGGATCTCTCTTCCCCTTAAATATTTCCCCCCCACACTTCTGCTGTCTTGTTCAGTAGTATTGTAAGAGTCATAGTTTGTGGACTGGAGCAATGATTTAGAAATAGTAAAATGTTGTCTTTAAAAGTTTCTGATAGCTCTGAAAATACTTCTATCATCACAAGAGAGCCCCCAACCAGTGAAAACATGATATGTCAAACCACATGTTTTGCTTTATAGCATGTGAGCGATTAACCTTTCTGCAAGAGAGAGGAAATGGAAGAGTGAAGAGGGAGCTGCCCCAGCTAGGAGAAATGCTGTTCTGTTTAACTGAGAGATGCCCAGAGGAATTTGAGTCTTACGGTTGCTACTGTGGCCAAGAAGGAAGAGGTTATCCTACCGATGCACTGGACAGGTGTGGGCTCTTCTATAATCTGCCATTTACCGTGGGTGTTATTGGGGTGCCTATGGGCCGACAAAGATCACTATGCCTTTTGTTGGGCCTTGTACAGCTACATATTGGTAGCCAGGCCACATTTTGGAAAAAAAAAAAAAATCCACTTAAATACGTAAAACATGAAATACTCAAATGTCACTAGGACACATTCTATTATTGCATCAATGTTTTGGAGAGGACTTACTTACTCAAAATAAGAACAGAGAATGATGGGAGGTAAGTAGAGCAGAAGGAAGAGTATATCAAAAGAGATGAGGGTAAGGGTTGCCGTGAAACTTGGCTAAGAGGTGGATTGGAAAGTGATTTATGAAGAGAAGAGTTAACACACATCTGTGCCGCACTGTCCTTCAGAAGAGAGTACAGCTCGAGTGAAGTACTGCCTGGGCTGTAGCCAAGAGACCTGCCGAGGCCGACTGTGTGCCGTCACAGCACGGCTGACAAAGAGGAGGAATTCTGGAGTAATGCAGAGAATTCAACCAAAGTACAGAAATCTCCTTAAGAGTGTTGTATTTACAATTAAAACTCTCTTCCTGTGGAAGTTCATGAGAGTTGGGGCCACATCAGGTCTAAGTATAGCACTTAGTATAGAGCACACGGAGTTTTCCTACACTTGCACACAAATAAGACTGCCTACGCATGATCAAGTAGACTAGATGAGGGCTAGTCAAGGCTCTGGCTGTAATGATGCAGTTTCCAGATCTTCAGCCAACAATATTTGAACACTTGAAGACACTTCCCACAGAGGATTCCCACAGTTACAGTTGTAATTATATGTCTTAAAATTAAAACAAAAATCCTTGAAAAACTACAGCACTGTTAAACATATGATACCAAAGGAATTAGGAAGGAGGTAGTGAAAATAGGAACAGGTACAGGAGGAGAGTAGGAACAGTTTGGGGTGTTTTTCTTCTTCTTTATGGAAAAGATTTTTCCGTGAAAACTAAAATTTCTCAGTTTTAATGGGCATTGAAAACAAAGAGATAAAATAATTGCGAGTACTCTGTGATGCAGGAAGAGTAAGTATTTTTCATTTACATCTACTGTTTATTTTAGGTGCTGCTTCTCTCATCACTGTTGTATGGAACAAGTTAAGAAACTTGGATGTCATGCAGAAAGAAGTTCAAGATCTGAAGTTGTATGTTTTGATCATAAGCCAAAATGTAAGTTTGGGTTAGAGGAAATTCCAGTGTACCAGAGCATTACGGACTGAGTCTTATGAAGAGCGGCTGAGGGAACTGGGGTGTTTAGCCTGGAGGAGAGGAGGCTGAGGGGAGACCTCATCGCGCTCTACAACTACCTGAAAGGAGGTTGGAGCGAGGTGGGGGTTGGTCTCTTCTCCCAAGTAACCAGCGATAGGACGAGAGGAAATGGCCTCAAGTTGCGCCAAGGGAGGTTTAGACTGGACATTAGGAAAAACTTCTTTACTGAAAGAGTGGTCAGGCCTTGGAACAGGCTGCCCAGGGAAGTGGTGGAGTCACCATCCCTGGAAGTATTTAAAAGATGTGTAGATGAGGCACTTAGGGGCATGGTTTAGTGGGCATGGTGGTGTTGGGTTGACGGTTGGACTCGATGATCTTAGAGGTCTTTTCCAACCTTAATGAGTCTATGATTCTATGATTCTATGAGTGCCACCATGCCTGTGAGCTGCTAGAGCTGAGTATGGAGACAGAAGAATTTGGCTTACAAAATATTAGCAATGCTTACTATAAATCCAAACTGTCTTTCCTAGTTAAGATAAAGGTTATTACACCACTGTGTATGATGTGACCAGGTCAGGCTGAGAAAACTACATTCAGATATTTTATGATTGGAGACAGAAGTCAGCTGGTAGTGTCTTTACATTCATAAATTCAACTAGAGCCAGTTCAGCTGCCCAGCACCTTGGTGTCAGGCTTATATTTAGATGATTAAAGGTGAATTTGGAGACAAAAATTCAAGGCAGATTCGAAAATTTTATTTTCAAAAGCTTATCTACCCATGGCAAATTACACATTGACTAATTGTAACTGCTCTCAAATATTAATTCTGAAACTTCTTTTTAAGGTACTGGTTGGAGCACGTGTGAGAAGCTACTATGTGCTTGCGATAAGACAGCAGCCGAGTGCATGGCTTCTGCCTTCTTCAATGAAAGCCTTAAGTTTCCACACAGGCAAGAGTGCCAGGAGGAGAAAGTCTTATGTCAAAGTGACCCGTATGAAAGGCCTTCAGTCGGCACAGAAATAGGCACCGGGATTTCCAGCTCCGAGGAGAGCAGTGAGGAGGAAGGTCCACTGTGGAGCGTATTAAGAAGAGCAAAGAGAGAGACACACCGTCCTGTTGGAAACTCCAGAGCTGTGCAACACGAAGGCAGATAACCAGCCACCCCCACGCGCTTGAGAAACGGCACGGAGACTTCACAGTCAGCCATTGCATACCTTACTCCTCCTTATCACTCTACAGGCTGCCTTACACTTTCCAGCACACAAATGACATAATCATAGACTAGGTGTTAGATGTTAGGCTGTGTGACTCCTTATCGTAGTGAAGTCGGCACTATGGACCATCTATTTAGGTCAGATATTACCTTAAATAATTATTTGACAGTATTCTGCATAATTTCATTCGATTTCTATGTAAAAACTGTTCTGATCAAAGGCTGATTTTTGTTAACTGTATAGTTGGTTCAGACTGGATCTTGCTGATGGTGGCTAAGTATTTCAAGTTTTTAATTAAACCAATCTGCAACTATTCCAACTCCTTTGCAGACATTCTTCCTTTACTGAGCTTAGCAGGAAACACCCAAAAGAAAAGCTAAGGTAATTGCATGAAAATGAGTTCCTTCTTCCCTTCCTATCTAATTGCAGTTTTCAACCCACAGTGTTTCTGCTGGTCAATCAGATCATGACAGTAAAAGACACATTCCCTGCCCCAAAGCTGTGTACTATGCACAGTTATCTCTGGTTTTGAGAGATTTCTGGATGTTAAAGGGAAGAAATTTAAAGGTTCTGCTTTCTGGGACCAGGTAAAACTAATGTATTCTGAAGTATGTAATGCAAAGCTGGAATAATGCTTTTTGCTTTTTACTGAAGCCAAGTTTGTTTGCTTTTCCCCTGCCCCCCCCCCATTCGCCACTCACAAGATTCACCAGTTTTCAGACAACAGCAGTATAAAAGGATATGTACATCCTTTTACTTGATAAGGTGCTAATTTAGACTATGCTTTGATCATAAAATATTGCCACAAGAAATAAAACTGCTAGAACTTGGCTACCAATAACAAAGCAAAAAAACCAAAAAAACCCAGCTAGGGTCAAAATCACTAGCAACCTTGTTACTTTGATCGGAAAGATGCACACAAAGGTATAATCTTTGTATGTCTTTCTCATTAGATTTCAGTTGTATAGCACACAACAGTGCAAATACACAGCTTAAACCCAGAAGGTGACTTGCCCAAAATAGCACATAACATCTTACTCAATGGGATTACTGATATTTCCATATTTTCTCTGAGCTTGTATTTGCAAAATCAAAACCATACTAATAAGGTACCTCCTCTGTAAGCACATCTAATTGTAAGAGTGAAGGTTTGACTTCCTGATCAAAAGCAGTCATATAATTTTAATCTGATTAACCATTCATCTGTTGACCTGCCATAACTGACTTTGTGCTGTTTGCATCACTCGTGAGATCTTCCGAAGGTTAGATTGGTGATTCCCACTCTTTTATTCAGTTGAATCATATTGTTGTTCCTTTGTCTTAGATTCTCTTCAACTGCAGCCTTGATCCCTAGTGCCGTATCTCATTCCCCAGGAAGCAGTAACAGCACCTCACTCTTACCAGCAGCTTCCCCAGTGCTGAGCACTGAGAGAAACAAAGGCTGACAACCCCCCCCACCACCTCTGAGTTCAGAGTTCGGGTTCAGTTCTGCACTACGTCCCAGCACAACTTCCCAGGCATCTCAGAAACTAGAACCAGAAATCAAACCAAGGTAGTTTTACTTCTCAGTTGAGTTGTCTTCAGATGTTAACCATGACAGAATGCAACTGAGTATATATGCAATTACCTGGGACACTTAGATTCCGAGTTGTATAATTCTGAGCCTGCAAACCTACAGTAGGATTAAAAAAAATGTTCACATTGGTGTCAAAGTTTACCGACTTTGCATATTGTTCTTCATAGGTTCAACTTCAAGTGATATGTCAAGGAGTCAGGTTTTTTTGTGTAATCCTGAACATCCAGAAACAAATTAATAATTGATTTGAGGGTCAAGTCATACCTGTCTCGCTTTCTCTTGGAATTAGAAAGGTCTCTAAGAATTCTCACACTTAATGCTTCAGTTTGCTTAACAAAGGCATACTTTTATTTGTTACTATTAACTGAAAAAAAAAAAGAAAAAGCAAAACAATCATTTTACAAAATATTTTGATTGAAAAGATTCCAATTCTCTTAGCACAAAAGATTTAAAGGTGGTCTCACTGAAACTAGCAGTTAGTCATCAAGGGGAGCTGCTCCAACACCGGCCTGGTCCACAGAGGAGTGGCAGATCTCATGAGGTTCTTCAAGGCCAAGTGCAGGGTCCTGCACATGGGTCAGGGCAACCCACAGTATCAATACAGCTGGGGGATGAAGGGATTGAGAGCAGCCCTGATGAGAAGGACGTGGGGGTACTGGTGGACAAAAAGCTGGACGTGAGCTGGCAATGTGCGCTCGCAGCCCAGGCGGCCAACCGTGTCCTGGGCTGCATCCAAAGCAGCGCGGCCAGCAGTTTGAGGGAGGTGATTCCGCCCCTCTGCTCTGCTCTGGTGAGACCCCCCCCTGCAGTACTGCGTCCAGCTCTGGAGCCCTCGGCGCAAGACAGACATGGACCTCTTGGAGCAGGTGCAGAGGGGGGCCACGAAAATGATCAGGGGGTGGAACACCTCTCCTATGAGGAAAGACTGAGAGAGTTGGGGTTGTTCAGCCTGGAGAAGAGAAGGCTTAGGGGAGACCTTATTGCAGCCTTTCAGTTCTTAAAGGGGGCTTATAAGAAAGATGAGGACAGACTTTTTAGCAGGGCCTACTGCGACAGGACAAGGGGGAATGGTTTTAAACTAAAAGAGAGGAGATTTAGACTAGATATAAGACAGAAATTTTTTACAATGAAGGTGGTGAAACACTGGAGCAGGTTTCCCAGAGAGGTGGTAGATGCCCCATCCCTGGGAACCTTCAAGGTCAGGTTGGATGGGGCTGTGAACAACCTGATCTAGTTGAAGATGTCCCTGCCCATGGCAGGGGGGTTGGACAAGATGACCTTTAAAGGTCCCTTCCAACTTAAACAATTTTATGATTCCATGATTCACTAACATTTCTTAGAACAAAAACTCTTGCTACAAACCTTCTAGCAATTTGCTCTGAAAGGTCTTGATTTCTTCTCTATAATCCTGTTCTACAGGGTTGAATTTTGTCACAAAAGTATTCATTGCAGATCAATGACTATACCCTAATGCTGGATACAGAAACGCTACCTGTGTTCTTCCAAATCATGAAGCAGTTAACTAAACCATATAATTTTATCTCCTTGTGGTACTGGATGCTGTGAGAACAGCAGGTGAAAATGCCAGTGAATGTTCTTGGATGAGCAGTTATTATTCTATAAACCTCTGGCTGGTGGTATTCCCCCTTCAGTATTTTTCCTACATTAAAACTGCAAAGGATTAAAGCAGTGTAGAAAAAAAGAAAAACACCAAAAAAAACCAAAATAAAAAACAAACCCAAAAGGTATTTAGCCACATGAATCCCACTGCCTACAGTGGCTACACCATTAGCACCAGTGGGAAAAAAAAAAAAACCAGAACACAAAATCTTTTTCTTAGCTAAGTCATGTGAGAAATTCTATCTGCAGACAAGATTTTAATTAACTTTGATCCCCTCCCTCCCATGATGCTCTATAGAAAGAGAACATTTTAGTACTTAAGTAAAATGCTACAAATCTGCAAAATGCCCTTTTTTGTCCAGTGTTGAGGATGAGATCTGCATTAAGCTGATGTTTACTTGTTTCGGAATTGGAATTTTTATCAGCCTTCTATCATAGTGATGAAAAGCTATTTTATATTTCACAGCATTTATAAATAAAAATGATAATGAAAAGGTCAGACAACTAATTAGCTGAAATGGGAAAAATTGGCCTTGAAACAAGAGAATTAAGTGCACTGCTCCTTAATAATAACACAAGCTCATTCCTCTGATGATAGCAGTGCTGCTGCTTTGAAGCCTGCATTTAAAATATATGCTTAAGATCAAGAAACAACCCTTTCTGCTAATTATTAGAAACTAGTATTCCATTCATGGTTATGCAAATAACACATGCGTATATTCACTCAGAGATATGCTGAATTTTCCAATTGCAGAGATAGAGATGGATCATTTGAATTGATCAAGTAACAGAGAAATTACAATATAAATATGTTGTTATTGAGGCAATGTTATCATTACTTCCTTCGGGATTTTTTCCAGCATCTCTTATTTCAGGAAGAATTTAACACCGAAGTTGTTCTGTAGAGTAATTACTACCATATGAATTGTGTTGATAAAGAGAAGTCTTAAATAATCGAGCTATGATTAGCTGTATTTATTCATTCTCAGAGATCAGTGCTAAAATAATTTAAAAAATGATAAGCAGATCAAGATGAGACATTTAGCATAGCTTTTTTTCTTTCTTCTCTCATTCTCACAGTAACTTTACACTATATTTTTCAAAGATTTGGGGCATAGCTGGCCGAAACCTAATTGTTTCCCCAAAGTAAACAACTAATCTATTAATTACTAATCTAAAAAGATTTCCTACTTCATTAGATACTAATTTACTTATTTTAACTTTTTAAGCAGTTATTCTTTGCCTGTAAGCTGATAAAGACTTGGGAAGATGATTTCATGAACAACTTGACATAATTTAGGAAGACATGAACTCTGAAAACTAGCACTATTAGGTGTACCGGTCAACTTGACCACAGTATCATTGAAACTGTGAGCAATGAATGAGTTAAGTCTTTCAAATAAAGGTAACACCGTGAAGAAGCAGAAACTTCCAGACAGAAACTCCCCCCAGTACCCAGAAAGTAGCTCTTAACAGGCCACCTTTGTTATGTCTTACAACTGCAGTGGCTGCCACTTTTGTCCCTCCTTGGTGGTAGGGGGACAGAATCTCTTATTCACCTCTACACCTTCTCTTTAGATATGATTTAAAATAATCTCCCAAGTGTAGCTGCTATTTTCTCCTCGGATTGTTTTGAGGTATCCACTATCAAAATCCTGCTCAGACCAACGTGAGCAACAAAAAAGGTTGATGACCACACATCTTAATAGCAGCTTCTGAGATTTATGGTAAGTCATAGAAAGACAACGCCTACATGAGGTTTTAACGTCTGCAAAAATTAGGAACAGAGGAGCTAGAGAAAAAAAGATGACAAAATAATCCTCTCTATATTAGGATATATCTCATGTGAGCTAGAGAAGGTCCCAACTTCCTCAAAATAGAAAAAAGAATTCCTCTTCCCGCTTCTCTCAGGGTGCACTATTAAAACCATTTAAATAAATGAATGCTACCAAAAAAAGAGAGTAACAAACAACAGTATAATACTCAGCCCTATTAGATGGCATCACTGAAAAAAGCTACCTGTGGGTGAGCTGTATAGAGATCTTCACACACACTGACAAGTTTATTCCTTGAAATTGATACTACAAACCCAATACGTTTTCTTAACCAGGGAGGCAGGCCTGAACGGCATAGCTTATTTATCTTCCCAAAGCTTGTTTGCTAGTAGGGAATGATTTTTGTACTGTTGCGTTCTCAACTTTTGGTGGTCTTGGTAATAGTAATGGTTTAATCATGAATAGTAGTAGTAGTTTAATAATGCTGCAATGCTGAAACATTGGGGGGGGGGAGGGGAGGGAAGGTGTGTAAAATGAGGTCTATTGTAAATGCCAAAAAATGTCATTGACATTTCAATTGTGAGCAATAAAAATTAACTGACACCTTAGAAAAAATTAATTTTAAATTTTGGTTTATTTTATTGCTTAAATATAGATTGCACAGTGTGTTCTTACATTTATTGAAACTGGTTCATTACGTACAGTACAGAATATATGACCATCAGAACAACAGACAGATCAGTCCTACCCTGATTTTAGACAACAGGCTATTTCTATCTTTTGAAATTAATAAGGATTTAATTTACTTTAAAGTGACCCACTACCAAAAGCTATGATTTTTCAAAATGACACAACGGGAAGGAGAATCCAAAGCAAAAGCTGGAATACATTTAAACAGCTGGATACCGATTTATAAACATTGTGACAGTACTCAGTGTGTTGCAGATAATACAGGGCCAGTATGCATATGGAGTTTTTAAGTTCTGCAACTCGTCTCAAGAACATAAAGGGATAAGTGAAACAAAGCAGCTTTATACCGTACAACAGGATTCTTAATTCATTTGGTTTCATTCATTAAATACATATAACAATAGCTACCAAAACAATACATTTACAGTCACTCCCATCTCCCAGCTGTCTAGAAAGGCCAGAGTGAACCAATTATCAACTTACAGACTCCCTGAATTTCCAGAAAGGAAGAAATTAAATATCATGTGAACACAGAGTGTTACAAACTCTTCATTCCCTGCACAATACCTGCACAACACCTGCACAACACCTGCATTTCCCAAATAAAGCTCATTTGAACACTGAGTACATGGAAACCTATCATTAGCATAAATGAAAAATACTTCATAAACAGAAAATGAAATGCTGAATCTAGTTATTTTCACATGCAGCATTCATGCAACAGAATTCGATCACAGAAACAATCCTGTATTTACAGCACAGTCTCCATACTGCAAGAGTGCAAACAGAAGTACATTCTTTATTTCTTAGACTCCTTATGTTCTTTTTGTACAAAAGTGCACAGTGTTCTTCTTAAAAAATGACAGAGTGGATAAGTGTTTTACATTGTATCCCTAGGTTAGATTTACTATTTAAAAAATTACAGTCTTTATATAGGCCAAAAAACTATTATGTCTTACCTTAAAAAAAACCCCAAAAAGTGAAAACTAAAAGCTAGAGTGACAACGAGTCCTATTTATGTGTAGATTGTGGTCTGATCAGGCTGATACGCTGCAGCAGTAAAAATCACAACGGAATGCTGTAGATAAGGGGCTGTTTCGTCATCCACTAACAGCTGTGATTGCACTGTTAAACTGAAAAGAAGGTCTCAATTACCTTTTGAGTTTTGTGAATGCTTTCTGAAAGTCTCAGCATGTTATCTCATAGGTTTAAGTAGCTGATATTTCTCTGATGTTATGTCACATCAGGCTTTTAAAAGTAGTCCAGTGGAATACTGTACTACAGTTCAAAAAATTTAAAATCCGTTTTACAGTGGGTTTGCAAATGCTCAAAACAGTCAGCAAATTAGCTGGCCTGATAACCATTCAGATCTTAGAATTATGCAATCATAGATTAATTTAGGTTGGGACTTCTGGAGCTCATCTGAACCAAGCTCCTGCTCAAAGCAGAGCTTACTGAAATTAGATCACTTTGTTCGTGGGCTGATCACTGTTTATTTAAACTGCTGGCTAACTTAAATGTCTTACATTTATTACAGATATTTGAGAACATTCATTCATGGTTGTGCTGCTTCAGTCAGATTCAGATAGATTAAGAGACTTCAAACTTACTATTCCTGGCATCAACGAAAGCTATTTTTCCTTGTTGCCTGCAGAATTTAGTGAGTCATAAAGACAGCCTTGACAATTATCATCAAAAGCTTAGTGATTTACTAGATCAGTTTTACTTTATTTACATTTGAGTAGTATCCTCAGATACATAAACCTATGAAAGTTATCATATTTTCCTTATTTCTAGAAAGGTTTGAAATGAAACAAGAATGAACAGAGATGCATCTCTAAAAATGCTTTTGCTTGAAAACACATTAATAAATTCTTGGTCTTTAAATGGTTTCATCCAGTTTTCTTTCAATTTCTAAAATATCATTAAAAAGCTGTAATAAACTACAGAGAAATACCTCATAGAATATATTTGTAATTTCTACATTTATGATTTAAAATGCCCTCAGTTTATTTTCTGCTACACTAAATATATCTCTCATGTATTTATACTAAAGCAGACAGTAAAATACTACTGCATTTTCAAAAGTACAGTCTGTAAACCATACACCTTAAGACATGAAAAATATTGCACAGTTCAGTGCTTCAAGAAGAAATTTCTCCTCTCTTAGGCAAAGCAGTTAACTTTTAGCAAGAAACACAGGACATATACTGGGCATATGTATCTAAAAAGCATGGTATGTGATGCATCAAAAAAATACTTAACAAGTGTCCATTAATTCATTTACTGTACTTGAACACATGTATTGGTTTTTTCCATATATTCCAAAATAAACAAGTTGGCTAGCTATGACAGCATGAACAAAAGGGAGCTAAGGTAGCGCTCCACTGGTTACATTTATTAAGATGAAGCAAGCCAAAAGCATTCTATTTAGATATATAATTGAGGTGGAGAAGAGGAAAAAAACCAAACAAACAAACAAAGAAAAAAGCTTTAACGGGTTCTTCAGTTACAACGGCTCGAATTAACGGAATTTACAGAAATATGAATTCCTAGTGTAACTGAAATATTCATCTATATGGCAAGACAAGTTTTAAATCTGACTTTTACATGTACTCAAATATGAAAATGAAGAAACATGATATATGAAAAACCTAACTTCAAATATATTACAGAAGAAAACAACTCACGACAGTCTCACGAGTTTGACTAGAGTAATCTGTATTTGGCTCATGTCAATCATTATTTTAAAGTTAGTTTAGATGAAATAAACAATAAAATTTGAAAACTCATCTTGTTCTTTCTATTGTACTCTACTCTAAATAATGTCCAGCAGACTTCAGAAGACACTTAATACACACAAAGATCTGGAAACTTCATCTCATAGACTGGAACAGATTGGTAATGAGCATGTCCAGCAGTAATGGTCATCGTTCCTGAGGGGCTTGGTGGAGGACTGTGTGAGAAGAATAATTAATATATATAATTTATAATTATATAGACTGCTTTCTTTTTTATAACTTGATATGCGAATAGCTAAGAAACAAGAGTATACTACCCTCCCCCGCCTCACAACCAGTATTTTATCCTATTCCTGAAATTCTAATGAAATTATCATGCCTCGGTTTTTTTCTTTGTACTCTGGTCTAAATCAACAACTTCACTGATGTTACAGAACTATGAAAATGCAAATACTATTCATACTGCACAACGGATGTGCACAACACTCTATAATAATGTCATGTACTATTTTGGGTGTTCATTTTCTAATTAGTTTCTCAAACAGATACAGCGATGTGAAAACAGCAGCATTCTTCTATACTACTGATACACATTGAAAAAATACAAGTACACTATGATATGGTTTCTGGATATCCTCCACTATCTAAAAGATTCAAAATAGTAACAAGAAAATCAAAGTGACTGTTTTAGATGAAGACTACTCTTTTTCAGTGTACTGGTTTTGGCTGGGATAGAGTTAATTTTCTTCACAGTAGCTAGTATGGGGCTATGTTTTGGATTTGTGCTGAAAACAGTGTTGATAACACAGGGGTGGTTTGGTTACTGCTGA